GAAGATTTTTAGAATAATTTTTAAAGGATTATTTGTTATAAGAGGGAGAGCAAGGGAAAAGGAAAGGAAGATAGATACTGATTTAATTTTCAATTGTCAGAGGTTATGTATGCTCACCAGTTAGAGACAGAGAGACACAGAGAGGGAGAGGGAGGAGAAAGTACTCTGCAGTAGGGTGTAGACAAGCTACAACCCCTTCTTCTCCATTTTTCCATCCTGTTGGAATTTTGGGCATGCACACACATGTGCCTGACATGTTTTTCAAGCTGCTGAGGCTGGGATTTAAACCATGGTTAGCTATGTGGGATCCAGCTCCTTAATCACTAGGTTATGGGACCAGCTCTAGACAGTGATTTTTGAGAGGGTCTCACCATGTCAGGATGTTCCTGAACCGGCCTCCCACCCAGCTAGGACTAGAGATGAATGTCACTGTGCCCAGTCTGCTAGGTTAGGCTAGGAACGAAATCTAGACCTCCCATGTGACCTTGGCCTCCTAGTAGCAATGCTATAGCAGTGTGTGTCACTGTGGCTGAGTCAATAAAAAAAAAAAAATCTTAATTTTTCTTTTTAAGTTGCTGTAGGATGCACGTGCTCTCTGAAGAGACAGAGAGAAAACACCCATAGATGGATAGCCATGCCACAATCCCTTCTCTATTCTCTTGGACCTTGGGCACGTGCACACATGCCTAGCATGTTCTCCAAGCTGCTAGATCCAAGACTCAAACCGTGCAGTTGGCCATTCTGGATCCAGCCACCCCAACCTGCCATACCACCAACCACGTCCCTAGAATAATTTTCTATACAGAAATTGTAAAAAGTTAGTTTTCTACTTACTTAAGAATTAGCCTTTCTACAGCACTTTGTCCAACGAAACCAGAGTCTCTTAAATCCAAGGTATACTGATTGAAAATTTTTCCCGAATTGAGAAGATTAAATATTTCTTCACCTGGATGGTGATCAGGAATAGCATCAACTGTAACTGAAAATTTCTTTAGAAATTCCCTGAAAGCAAAGCAAAACAAAACAAAAATCCTTGACTACGAAGTAGTTATACTGCATATAGATTTTTTTTCCCCCTTAGGGCATGTGCACACACTGGAGAGACAGAAAGAAAGAGAGAGAGAGAGAGACAGACAGATACTTTGAGAGGGAATGTGAGAAATCACCGTCCAGGGAGAATGGCCACACTCCAATCCCTTCTTCTCCATTCTCTTCCCAGGATTCTGGACATGTATGCGCATGTGCCTGGAATGAGTTTCAAGTCACTGGTCTGGGACTCAAACCGTGGTTGGTCATGTGGGAGTCCAGCAACATAACTGCTACATCATCTGCTGGCCCCTGCATATGGTTCTTGTACTTAAAAACTGGGTGCAAAGAAAATTTTTTAGGATCAGTGTGAATCCTAGATTAGAAGACTAGCATGTAAAAAGTTGTTTTGCTGTGTCCACTTTTTGCTGGTATTTAGTCAAAAGCCACAAGATGTATCTGTGTGAAAATGAACAATAATCAGAAGAAAAGATAAAAGATGTCTAACATTTGCCTTTCAAATCAGTAAGACAGATTAGAAACCCATTGTAGACTATTCAGAAAGTAAACAGTTATCAGTAGGACCATTTAGTTCATAAAATCAAAGCTGAAAATTGCTAAAGACCTGAGAGAGTCTACGAGCACTACGAGGAATGCTGTACCTGTGCTCCTCTAAGAGGTTGTCCTCCTCATCTGTGCTATCGTGATCTCCGACTCGGATTGGGGATTTAATGCCTCGGCCCTGCCTTATGTCTTCTTGCAGTTGCTTCTGCAGTTCATCTAGCCTGAGAATTGAAAAAATGGTAATATTAAACAGTTTACTCTAAAAATGCAAAGGCAGTACCAAAGAATTTTATATACTATAGATCAAATCATGTCTCCCATATGCACCATGATGTACTACATGAGATATACCATTTTCACTAAAACACAGAAGTCTATTTTAGGTTTCAGGCTTTTACCCAGTCACCGGTATCATATCAGTGTCCCACTGCATGAAAGACTTGAGTACTTCTTTATAGCTAGGACTTCAAGAATGATCTTCCCGAAACATTTATAAAATGGGCAAGTAAAAATGGCTAAGAAGGGGTCATCAGGTGGCATGATGGTTGGAGGCTCTGACTCCCACATGGTCGACCATGGTTTGAGTCCTGGACCTGGAAGCTTGCTTTCTAACTTTCCCTTTTTCTCTGGCTCTAACTCTATCCCTCTCTGGTCAAACTGAAATAAGTAAATAAATAAAGTTAAATAAAATAATTATTAAAAAAAAAAAAAGGCTACAAAAAAATCAGTAATTTTATTATTCTTTTTCATTTCTAATGCTCATTTAACTTCTAATAGAACAACAACTTGATGTTAACTAGGCTTTCTAACACCAGCAGCTATTACCATCACATCTAACACTGAGCACTTACTGCATGACAGGCACCAAGGGCTTCATGTATTAACTCTTTTTAGATATACATTTATTTAATGTTTCCAGAGAGTGCATGTGCTCACTGGAGATAGACAGGTTGGGGAAGGAGGAGCAAGAAAGCACCCTGTGATGAGGTATGGCCACCCTGCAATCTCTTCACTTCTATCTCTCCCTCCTTTCTGGATATTGGGCACTTATGCATATGAGCCTGGCTTGTTTCTGAAGCTGGAGAGTTTAGGACTCAAACTGTGTAGTGAGTCACATGGCATCTAGCTGTCTTAACTACCAAGCCATGGGCTGGCCCATTGTTCATATTTTACCATAAAAAAACGAACACACACACACACACACACACACACACACACACACACACACACAATCCTACCCATGCTTTTCATCAAGAATTACAGCTAGTAGTTGTGAATGCAGAAGGCAATTTATACTCTTACTATTTATTACTTAACGTAGTACACCATGAAAACCTTTTTGATACAGTCTTTCAACAAGAAAACACATTTTATTTCTTACATTGCTGACAACACAAGAACGGTTATAATGGTACTGGCACAAAATGCATGGTAATTCTTCATTTTTTGGAGAGGTTTTTGCTATACAGCGCATGTACTCGCCAGAAAGACAGAGAGACAGAGAGACAGAAATCACTCCCCAGAGGGGATAGCCACACCATAATCCCTTCTCCTCCATTCTCCTCTTGGGATCTTGGGCATGTAAGCACATGCACCTGGCACAAGTTTAAGTCACCGGGTCCGGGACTCAAACCACGGTTGACTACATAGGAGTCCAGTAACATAGCCATTACGCCATCTGCTGGTCCCAGTAATTACACATTTTTTTTTAAAAAATAATTATTTTATTTAACTTTATTTATTATTATCATTGTTATTTTCCAGTTTGATCAGAGAGAGAGACAGAGAGAGAGAGAGAGGAAGTGAGAAAGCAAGCCACCAGGTCCGAGACTTGAACCATGGTCAGTCATGTGGGAGTCCAGCGCCCTTAACCACCATGCCACTTGCCAGCCCCAATTACACATTTTTTAAAGGTAAGTTCAAAGTCACACAAATAAGCAGTGCGCTTAATTTAGCAAATTAATCATGACACTAACCTTTGCGTGTCTTCCATCTCCTTCACTAGACGCTCTAAAGTATTCGTGTAAGTTCCACTAGGAATGTGTTTCTAAGGAGAAAATTTAAAAATACTTACAATACATCTCAACTAAAAGAACTGGGATGTTTCAAGTTTTTAAGAGCACTAAAGACTATTTTCTACTTCAATAACCCGGGCCAAGACGGTAACTTCCTTAAAGATGGATTTTCACTATCATGCTTTAAATCTAGAATTCTGAACTGCAGGCAATGTGATTCTACCATCTACTAGGAAAGGCATTACTGAAAAAGCCCTGTTAGGATCAGGATCTGACTGCAAACACCCAAGGGCTCTGTGGCTACCCTGTCTTTACTTTTAAATTCTGTTTCACTGGAATCACTCTACTAATTTTTAGGTGTTATCATGGAACATCAACACCTTCCCCACCAAATTTTACAAATATCTTAAATATTCAGCTTATTCCCAAGATAGAATGAAGCACTTTATAAATAAAATTGCACACCACAATTAACAACATTTCTACACTCTACCTTCATTTACAGCAGTGGTCTCCAAAGCAGGGGGTGTGCAAGGTGATCCATTGGGGTGCAGGAAGAAAATAATAGAACTTCTATTTATATGGAACTTTCTATAGACACTCCAGCAGAACTTAGTCTATAGTAACTTCTACATAACTTCTACAGGAAAATACTTATTTTTTTGTTCTTCCTTTTAAAAAAATTCTACTTTTGCATATGCTTTAGAAAGTACACAGTATTATAGTGGTACACATATATAATCTACAGGTATACACATATATTGGGGTACATGCTCAATTTTTTTTTTACTTAAAGAAGTGTGCGTGATCAAAAAGTTTGGAGACCACTGATTTACAGTACTAAAACTAAAGACGGGGAAACTCATTTCCCAAGCAAGAATTATACCACCTTTAGTCCAATTATGACTTGGAATAAATATTAAATTTTAGATTAAGCTCTAATAGTCCCTCTTTCACTATCAATCCATCCTTCCCTCTTCATGTAAAGATAAATGTCAAAGAACTACTTACTGTGTATTCTGATGACTGAGATCTAAGGCCCTTGGAAAGAGCAGGAGGCTTTCCTGTAGTTCCGGGAGTCGGATTGAAGTTCAAAGCCATTATTTCTTCCAGTGATTTTAATGTTTCCTCTTCCTCATCACTGTCTAGGTTGTAACCTAAACTTTCTTCATCACTATCAAAATCACCCCTTAGTTTTCTTTTCAGTGCACTGCTACCTGCATTGAAATTTTCTGAGCTATCTTTATCTGACGGGGCTTTATCTGAAGGTGCTGTAGGGCTTGGGATACATGGCACAGCTTCCAAAGCAGCTGGGGGAGACTTTGTAGGAGTGCCATATCCTGAGCACAAAGATCCCCCAGACATTTTCCCTGAAGATACATTAGAATCAGCCTGATTAGTCTTCGCTTGGTGTTCCTTATGTTTAGAGGATTCTGTAGAATGCTCAGAAAATTCTTTAGGTGAGGAACGCTCTTTATCTTTTTTAGGAACTGGTAGAGTGCAATTTTTAGCATTTAATGGTACCCGAGAGGAACCAGCACTTGGAACATGAGAAAGTAAAGGGAGTAGTTTTGTCTCCTTCGTTGTCACAGAGCTAGCAGTTTTATTTTTCTGAAGGTTGCTAGCTTTTTTAATTGCAGATTTTTCCTGAGGTAAAGATAAGTGGGATTTCTGAGTCTTAGTCTCTTTGGTACTTGCCACTCGGATTTGGTCATTGCTCCTGGAAGAATGGTGGCCAGAATTTGAAGGTGCCAAGCCTGCAGAGGAGTGATCAGTTTCATCATTTGATTCCTTGGATATATCTTCCAAGCGTAATACATCACCTGGTGTCTTTAGTGCAATATGTTTTATAAATTTTTCTCTCTGATGTGGTTCATCGGGACGCTTCTCAAGAAAGGACTCTCTTGGTTTTTGTATCAAAGATTCCCTTGCGCTTTTCAGATCTGAGTCCACAGAGTTCCTTTTTCTTTTGTCAAGGAATTTATTCTTAGAGCCTGATAAATTTAATTTTTAACAAATTAGTGAAGAGTATACATATTTTAGTAAAGTTCATTCAATGACTGTCTAAAATACCTGACGAAATGTTTACATTCTAAATGTTTAGGTCAAGATTATTCACCATCTATAGAATAAGGAAAAACACTAACACTATAATCAGTATTTTCAAAATAAAATTTCCAAAGTCACAGTTTTTGCACACGAATATGTATCTCTACTCCCCAACAGTTTGATTTATAAACCTCAAGAATCGGGCCAGCAGGTGGTATAGTGGTTGAGGGCACTAGACTCCCGCATAGCCAACCACAGTTTAAGTCCCAGTTCTGAGACTTGCTTTCTCACTTTCTCTCACTCTCTGTCCCTCTTCGGTCAAATTAAAATAAAATAAATAGGGACCAGCAGATGGTGTAATGGTTACATTGCTGGACTCTCACATAGTCCTTCGTGGTTCAAGTCCCAAACCTGGCAGCTTAAAAACTCATGCCGTTCGTGTGTGTGTGAGTGTGTGTGTGTGTGCGCCCCAGATACTGAGAGGAGAGTGGAGAAGAAGGGGTGATTCCTCGCTTTCTGTCTCTTTGTCTCTTCAGTAAGCATATGCGCCTTTAGCAAAAACCCTCTCTAAAATAAATAAAGTTAAATAAAATAATTCTTAAACAAACAAACAAAAACAACCTTCATGAATCAAACTTGAGAGTTAAGCAATTATCTGGATAGCTTGATCAATACATAATCTGGAAAGTTCAATTTTAAAGAATGTAATCAACCAATTAATAAACAAATGTAGCTATCTTTGTTCTACAGATGTCTTCCATTATTTAAAGAAATCATTTCATGGCCACTCTGATTCTGAGGTTAAGTATCTTTTTTTTTTTTTTCTTAAGAGGTTTTTGCTGTAGGGCACGTGTGCTCACCAGAAAGACAGAGAGAGACAGAAAGCAAGAAATCATCCTCCAGGGGGGATGGCCATGCCGCAATCCCTTCTCTTCCATTCTCCTCTCAGGATCTTGGGCACGCACGCAAGCGCGCCTGGAGTAAGTTTAAGCCACCAGGTCTGGGGCTCGAACCGTAGTTGACTACATGAGAGTCCAGCATCATAGCCATTTCACCAACTGCTGGTTTTGAGGTTAAGTATCTTGTAAAAAAGGGCAAGGAGTAATTTACAGTACAGGCTGAGAAATCAAGTAACTGAAGAAAAAAAAAAAAGACTTGAGGTAGAATTATACTGGTTATCTGATTTTAAGTATGAGATTAAAAGAAGATAGCCACAGAGCTGCCATTTGGAGTTTTGTTTCATGTTTCTAAAGAAATCAGATAATTTAAATATAGCTAGTAATGAGGAGAAATTCCTGTTTTGCTCAGGAATTTCTAGAACCTATAGAAACTCATCGTGGGAAATGCTTAGGATAAATAAGCTTATTAAGTTTTTAACATCTAGAATTAGAGAAAATAAATTGGTATTGCGAGAAACTCCTGTTTTGGAAGCTCTCTAGGACACTAGATCAATTGTAAATATTTTGTAATTCTTTCTGCACCCCTTGTATAGCCTATAGACAAAATATTTGTTTTACAGTTTTTCAAATATCAGCGCATAAAATACTCAGAGAACTAAGTTTGTAAAAAAGAAAAAAACAACAACATTCATTACTAGAGAATTGGTTATTAATAAATCAGAAATGTACTTATTCCCAAGATAGAATAGATAAATTTGATCTTAAAATTTGGCCAAAGGGCAGAGCTCCGAAAGACGAAAGAGCGAAAAAATTTATACTACATTTCTGAAATCCTTGACCTTGTGTGATTACTGATCATAGGACTGTGTGGATCAGCATCGCAACTAATAAACTTAACACCAATAAGATGAATAAGATGTTCCCTTTCATTACTTTAAGAACTGTATTATTATTAAGGCTAGAAGATGGTGTAGCAGTTATGTTGCTGGACTCCCACATGGCCAATCGCAGTTTGAGTCGTGGACCTGGTGGCTTGAAACATATGCTGGGCACGTGTGTGCGCCTAAGATCCAGAGAGTAGAACGGAGGAGAAAGGATCACGGCATGGCCATCTCCCCTATGGGGTGATTTCTCACTTTCCCTCTCACTGTCTCTCTCCGGCGAGTGCATGCGCCTAAGGCAAAATACAGATATATATTTCTTAATTTGCTATAGGTCATGTGCACTCACCAGAGAGAGACAAGACAAAGTGAGAAAGCAAGCCGTCAGGTCCATAACTCTAAATGCAGTCAGCAACGTGAGAATCCAGCGTCTTTATCCCATGACACCTGTTGACCCCTCCATTTCGATTTTTAATATCTATTCATCATCAGATAAAGTAAGTATTCTTAAAGTTATCTAAGGTGAACAATCCCCTCATGTCCTTTTTACACAAAAATTCTGTTGACGTCAGTGAACTAAAGTATAAATATGTATTTTAAGAGTATAATGCTATCATTTAAAATACATGCAAAAAAGGCAAGAAATGAAAAATTAAGTGAAAGCAATCACTTCATGTCGCCTCTGAAAATATGAAGAAAGTATTTTTTCAAGCAGTACTCAAAAACTTTAGTTTGCTGAACTCTAAACGAAAACTCCCTCAGCTACCACACATGGAATTTGCAAACCCAGGAACTGAAAACAATTATTTTAGGGGGCCAGTTAGTGGTGGATAAGGCAATTGAATCCTACATGGTGGACTGTGCAGTTCAAGTTTTGGACCTAGCATCTTGGAAAACATGCAGGGTATGCATGTGACCAAAATCCCAAGGGGTGAATGAAGAAGGGATTGCAGTGTGGCCATTCCCTGAGAGGTGCTCACTTTCTCTTTCTCTCTCTGGAGGGTGCACATGCCCTATAGCAAAAAATTTTTTAAAGAAAGATTTCTGCTATAGGGAGCATGCTCTCACCAGAAAGACAGAGACAGAGAAACAGAAAGCGAGAAACTACCTCCCCCCCCAGGATAGCCATGCTGCAATTCTTTCTCCTCCACCTCTTCTCCTTCACTCTCCTCTTGGGATTTTGGGCATGCATGCACACGCGCCTGGCACTGAATTTCAAACAGCTGGATCAAGAACTCAAACTGCAGTAGGTCATCTGGGAGTCCAGTGATGTAACCATTATGCCATCTGCTGGTCCCCCGATAGAAAATTTAGGAAGAAAATAAAATTTAATTTAAAGTCATTATTAGGCCAGCAGGTGGTAATGGTGGTTGAGGCGCTAGACTCCCACATGGGTGACCACAGTTTAAATCTCAGACCTGGTGGCTTGCTTTCTCACTTTCTCTCTTTCGCTATCTGGTGAGTACATGTGTCCTACAGTAAACTTAAAAAAAATAAGGGCTGGCAGGTGGTGTGGTGGTTGAGGACACTGGACGCCACTTGGCTGACAACAGTTTAGTTCTTGGATCTGACAGCCTGCTTTCTCTCTCTCTCTCTCTGGTCAAATAAAAAATAATGATAAATAAAGTTAAATAATTTTTTAAAAAATCCTAATAGGGACCAGCAGGTGGCGTAGTGTTTTGAACACTGGTCTCCCACTGGTCAACCATGGTTTAAGTACCAGACCTGGAGGCTTGGAACTCAGGCCAGGCAGGTGTGTGTCCATGTCTGAAATCCCAAAAGGAGCATGAGAGGGGATTGTGGCCATCCACCTTCGGGGGGGTGATTTCTCACTTCCTGTCTCTGTCTCTCCCACAAGTGCAGGTGGGATGTGTCCTATAGCAAAAATCTAAAAAATAAATAATAATTTTAAAATGTCATTATCAAAAGAAAGCTGAATAACTTGGTGGCAACATCACAGCAGCAGCCTTACATTGGGAGAGCTAGCCTAATAGTTTTTGACTCACCTACTGCAAAATGATCATTTATCTATTACTGTAAATGTGGGCCTAGCCTATGCAGGTGCTGGAACCCATGTGGATTACTAACTGGGTCAAAACCCTGGGTTGGGTTTAAGAGCACACCAAGCACCACATCTAAGACTCTACAGAGCAGGAGAGCTGAGGAAAGGAAATCGCAGCACAGAGACCTGTTGAGGGTAAGGTCTCTATTATGAATGAATTAAATTTAAACACCAACGAATAAAAAAAAAAATCAGAGAGAAAGTGGGACCAGCAGATGGCATAATGGCTACAAAGCTGGACTCCCATGTAGTTGACTGTGGTTCAAGTCCCAGACCCAGCGTCCTAAACTCATGCTGGGTCCGTGTGCGTGCATGCCCAAGATCCCGAGAGAATGGAGGAGAAGGGACTGTGGCATGGCCATCCCCCCTGGGGGGTGATTTCTCGTTATCTTTCTGGTGAGCCAACATCCCCTAGAGCAAAAACCTCTCAGAAAAAAAAAGGCAAGAAAGCAAAGTGTTCAATCTAGTGAGTACAGGAACAACCTTATAGCTGAGAAATCACCACTTTTGTATGACAAAATTCACTAAAATTTGGTCATAAAAATTACAAAATCTTAAAAACCCATAAAAATTCCTTTATTTCTGTATCTGAGAAGTTCCTGTGATATTTTTAATACTTTTTTTTTAGAATTACTTATTTAATTTGATTAATTCAGTATTTTAATTTGATCAGAGAGAGGCACAGGGAGAGAAGGTGAGAAAGCAAGCCACCAGGTTCAGGATTCGAACTGTTGGCCATGTGGGAGTTGTCCAGTGCCTTAACCACTGTGCCACCTGCTGGTCCCCACCTGTCCTGTTTTTTTTTCCCCCTTAGTTGGCCAGAGGGCACATGCACTTGGATGAAGGGCAAAAGCAAGCACTTCCCATAGAGGATGATTATGCTGCAATCCCTTTTCATCCATTACTCCCTCTTCTCAGGAATTTGGGCATGCACACAAATTCCCAGCATGTTTTATCAAGCCTCTGGGTCCAGAACTCAAACAGCATAGTTGGCCATGTGAGATCCAATCATTTATCCACCATGCCACCTGCTGGCCTGCCTATTAAGTTCCTCCTATCACTGTAAAATATGGTCCCAATCTTGGCTAAAGATTTTTTTTCCCTTGAGAGATTTTTTTTGGTATAGGGCACATGAGTTTGCCAGAGACAGGAAGCAAGAAATCACCCCCCAGTGGGAATGGCCACACTGCAATCCTTTTTCCTCCATTCTCATCTTGGGATTTGGGGCACATATGTACATGTGCCTAGATGAGTTTGAAGCTGCCAGATCTGGGCTCAAACCATGGTTATCTACATGGGAGCCCAGCGATGTAACCATTATGCCATCTGCTGGTCCCTGAATGGCTTAACCATCAAGAACGCATGGTCAAAATGCACTCTACTGGGGTGGCATAGTGGCGTGGTGGTTAAAGGTTCTGGACTCCCACTTGGCCAAATGTATTTTCGAGTCCCAGACCTGGTGGCATGCTTTCTCACTCTCTCCTTCTCTCTGGTCAAACTGAAGAATAGTAAGTAAAACTAGATGAATAGTTTAAAAAAATTTGGGACCTGCAGTTGGCGTAATGGCTATATTGCTGGACTCCCATGTAGTTGATTGTGGTTCAAGTCCTGGACCTGGTGGCTTAAACTCGCCCCAGGCACATGTGCATGCATGCCCAAGATCCTGAGGAGAAGGGATTGTGGTGTGACCATACCCCCGGGGGATGATTTCTCGATTTCTATCTCTCTCTCTGCCTTTCTGGCGCATGCATGCACCCTACAGCAAAAATCTCTTAAAAAATTTTTTTTTTTTTTTTTTTACAAAAATGTAGTATACCTCTGGGACCAGCAGTTAGTGTAATGGCTATGTCGCTGGACTCCCATATAGTTGAGCACAGTTCGCGTCCCGGACCCAGTGGCTTAAAACTCACGCCAGGCGCGTGTGCGTGTGTGCCCAAGATCGCGAGAGGAGAATGGAGGAGAAGGGATTGCGGCGTGACCATCCCCTCTGGGGGGTGATTTCTCACTTTCTGTCTCTCCGTCTGTCTGGTGAGTGTACACGCCCTATAGCAAAAATCTCTAAAAAGAAGATGATGTAGTATACCTCTAGAATATACACAAAATGAAGTACTACATGGGAACCAATAGTTAGCGTAATGGCTATGTTGCTGGACTCCCACGTAGTCGACCGCGGTTCGCGTCCCAGACCCAGTGGCTTAAAACTCACGCCAGGCGCGTGTGCGTGTGTGCCCAAGATCGCGAGAGGAGAATGGAGGAGAAGGGATTGCGGCGTGACCATCCCCTCTGGGGGGTGATTTCTCACTTTCTGTCTCTATGTCTCTCTGTCTGTCTGGCAAGCGCACGCGCCCTATAGCGAAAACCTCTCCAAAAAAAAAAAAGAAGTACTACATGAAATCTGAAGAATGGGTCTGAACTGTTTCTCTGTACCTCTGTTTTCTGGTTTCTGAAAGTATTGATAACCACCTTATAAAGTTCTGAGAATCAAATGAATTAAAAGTATACAGAACGGGGGACCACCAGGTGACATAGCGGTTGGGGTGCTGGACTCCCACATGGCTGACGCAATTCAAGTCCTGGACCTGGACCTAGCTGGCAGCTAAAATTCTCACTTTCTCTCTCTCTCTCTGGTAAACTCACATACCCTATAGCAAACAAAACAAAACAAAAGAACAAAAGACCCAAAACACAGAAAGGTCAGGTCCAGCAGGTGGCATGGTGGTTAAAGAGCTGGACTCCCACACGGTTGACCATGATTCGAGTCCTCGACCTGGAGGCTTGCTTTTTCACTCCCTCCCTCTCTCTCTCTGTCTGTCTCTTTCTGGTGAGCATGTGTACCCTGTAGCACATCAAACAAAAAGATGATAAATAAAATTAATCATTAAAAGTAAAAAAACACAGATGGGTCATGTAACACAACAAGTGCTCAGTAAATGTTGGCTTTGGCTTTTTTTCTCTGATGTATCTTACTGCATATGGAAATATGTAAACTCCATTGTTCAAAGTTTACATTCATGGCAGGAAAAAAATGGTTTATACCACAGCTGTTTTACCTGGGGGTTCTTCATTTTGTATGTCATAAATTTCTGCACTGTTTGAATTTCAATGTTCTACTTTCTAGTTGGAGTTGGATACTTTTAAGACTTACTGAATTAACAATAGCTATTTGTTATGTCTTTTCTCAAACAAGGTAGTATAAGTACAACCTATTAAGTAGATGTCCTTGAAATTTGTTATTAAAAAAGGATTCTTTGTACTGAGACTCACTATTTTGGATAACAGTTGCAACCTTGTACAAAGTACCTTCCACATTAGTTTAAAACTTTAGACAGTCCACATTTCTTTTGTGGGGGAGAGGTTTCTGCTATAGGGAGCATGAGCTCGCCAGAAAGACAGAGAGACAGAAAGCGAGAAATCACCCCCCAGGGGGGATGGCCATGCCACAATCCCTTCTCCATTTTCCTCTTGGGATCTTGGGCACATACGCACATGCACTGGGCATGAGTTTAAGCCACCAGGTCCAGGAATCGAATCGCAGTCGACTACATGGGAGTCCAGTGACATAGCCATTATGCCAACTGCTGGTCCTGTGTCCACAATTTTTTGAGTATTTTTTTTCAAGAGAGTTTTGCTATAGGGTATGTGTGCTCACCAGAGACAGAAAGTAAATCATCCCCCAGGGGAGATGGCCACATTGCAATTCTGTCTCTATCTCCTGTTGGGATTTTGAGCTCATGTTCCAATAGACCTGACGTGAATTTCAAGCTGCTGGGTCTGGGACTCGAACTGCAGTCGGCCATGTGGGGGTCTAGTAATGTAACGATTATGCCATCTGCTGGTCTTGACAGTTCACAATTCTAAATATGCTTCTTGATGTACCAAGGATTCAGAAGTATAAAACTGAACACCAACGAGATGCACATTATCCTATGGCTTGATGAAGGCAGAGAAGAACCAACACAAACTACAGGTTACCCATACTAAATTCAAGGACTATTGTTTTAACTATAATTTTTATCAAACTCTTAAATTAATCCAGATACTCAATTATCTCTATGAAGGGAACTACATATTTAAATAAATTTGCTTTCAGAAACAGTGTGCCATTAAGATTCAAATTTATTAAGAAATTAATAAATTTAATTTTGAAACTACCTGAAGTAGGTTCCCATGAATCAGAAGAGGTTCTTTTTCTTGAGAAATGTCTATTTTCCTATTAGCAAAAATAAGAAAACAATTAGAAGATGGAGGTAACAAAGAGTGTTAACTTTTCTTCATAAATATAGATTCCTAAATTGTACAAAGCAAGCATCTTCCATAATAAAATATTTAAAGATCTTTCTTTTTGGGGAACAGCAGATGGTAGAATGGTTCTGTTGTTGGACTCCCACATAATTGACTGTAGTTTGGGTTCTGAATCCTGTGACTTGAAACACACACCAGGAGCATGTGCATGTGTGCCCAAAATGCTGAGAGACTGGAGGAGATGGGACTGTGGCATGGCCATACCACCCCCCCGCCCCAGGGGGGTGATTTCTCGCTTTCTGTTAAGTACATGCACCCTATAGCAAAAAATCTCTCAAAAAAAAAAAAGGGGAAGTTTTTAAAAGAGAGATTTCTTTGTGCACACAGCCTAGTAGTTAAGAGAGCCAGATACCCAGGCCAAAAGAGGCTTGAATCATAGGGCTTGAAAAACACTAGGTGGGACCAACAAGTGACATAGTAATTAAGGTACTGGACTACCACATGATTGACAGTGGGCAGTTCAAGTCCTATACCTAGCAGCTTGAAACTTAAGCTGGGTGCATGAGCCAATGTGCCCATAATCCCCAGAGTTGAATGGAGAAGGGACTGTGGCATGGCCATCCTCCCTAGGAGGTGACTTTTGTCTCTCTGGTGAGTGCACACGCCCTATAGCAAAAATCTCTCAAAAAAGAAAAAAAAAAAGGATAAAGAAAAGAAAAACACACTAGGCTCGTGTGCATGCCTGCCCCAAGTCCCAACAGAATGGAGAGATGGAGAAGAGATTATAGCATGACCACACCCCATTAGGGGTTCTTCCTCCTTACTTGGTTTCACACATGCCCTCAGTTCAAAAATAAATTTTTTTTTTAAAGGTTTTTGCTACAGGGTACATGCACTCACTAGAGAAAGAGAAGAGGGAAAGTGAGGAATCATCCCTCAGAGGGGATGGCCATGCCACAGTTCCTTCTCCTCCATTCTCCTCTCAGAATTTTGGACAGGCAGCACCTGCACATGGTGTGATTTTCAAGCTCCTGGATTTGAGACTTGAACTGTGGTTGGCTAGGAGGGAATCCAGCATCTTAACCACCATGCCATCTGCTAGCCCAAGAGAAGTACTTTGATACTAACATTTTGACTTTCTAGAAGGAAAAGATAGCTTTCATGCTACCTTAAGTCTGGTCAATCCTGAAAAGAAAAATCTGATACGGTTAAAATGTGTTTGAAGAGTTTCCAAAGTTGTCTAAGCTTTCTAAGAACCATTCTCAATTACCAGTAGCCTTACCTATCCTTAGGTTTAAACGCAAACAGAAAATGTCTTGTTGTTGATGCGTACTTTGTGATTAGGCCAGCAACAGTGGCCTCTGTACTGAACATGTAGACTATTTTCTTATCATTATTCCCTAAACAATACGGTGTAACAACAATTTATGAAGTATTTACATGTACTCAATATTATAAGTAATCAAGAGATGACTTAAAGCACATGGGAAGATGTGTACAGATATTATAACCAATATATACAAGGGATTTGAGCATCTGAGGATTCTGGTTATCTGCTTATTTGCTGGGGGTCCTGGAAACCAATTCCTCAGAGATTCTGAGAGACAACTGTATTTAAGATTTATATGTAATCTAAAACACTGCTTCTCAAACTTTAAAGTATACCAGAATCATATGGAAGATTTGTCAATTGCAAATTGCTAGACTCTGTATTTTAGACTGCTCAAGTATTTCCTTTCAGTAGAGCCTAACTTATAAAAAAAGAAAAAGAATACTTGCTTTCCTAATTAAAAAAGATCTTTGCTCTTAGTCTGAAAAAAAATTAAGGGCAAGAAACACTGTTTTACTGAGTTCAATGAACATCAGTTGATTTTTATAAAACTGTCCATCAGTATTTCCTTAAAGAAAGATACCAATGGGACCAACCGTTAGCGTAATGGCTATGTTGCTGGACTCCCATGTAGTTGACCATGGTTCAAGTCCCAGACCTGGTGGCTTAAACTCACGCCGGGCGTGTGTGCATGGGTGCCCAAGATCATGAGAGGAGAATGGGGGAGAAGGGATTGTGCCGTGACCATCCCCCTGGGGGGTTATTTCTCGCTTTCTATCTCTCTGTCCTTCTGGTGAGCACGTGCACCCTGTAACAAAAACCTCTCCAAAAAAAAAAAAAGATACCAATGTTATACAATGATTATTAAATATTTTTAGATTTAGCATTCTAACTATAACAGTAGCAAAGCTTATTCTGTAATTGGGACACATACCAGGTTTGAAAGACCTCTTTCCAGGTAAGACATCATTCTGTTCACTATGTTCCTGCCTTGGTTTACATTTTCTTCCTATACTAGAAGGCTTTAAAGAAAGATTGCTTGCTTCTGAGAATGAATTTTCTGAGTTGATTCTCTGTTCCATTTGCTCCTTTCTTAACTTCTTTAGTTCTCGTTCTCTACAGTAAGAAGCTAGTGACAGCTGGAACTTTGCTCCCAGTGGGCCTTCTCCTGGCTGGTGCCTGGATAGGCTGCTCCTGCTGCTAAGACTTCTGGAGCTGTTCCTGAAGATGTCGGCTTCTGTCACTATCACCTGCTTTTTGGAGTCTGCATTGGTCTTGTCTTGATCACTATCATTCTTCTCCCTACTATTTTCATGAATAAGCAGTGACTTCCTACTCTCTGGAGATCGATGTTTTTTCTTCAGTGACTTCATCTCTTTTGACAAGTGGTATGAGGGAACATAATTTGTTCCTTTGGATAAATATTTGGAGGCTAGTGACACACAAGGGCGACGTGACTCATGAACACCATGATCTTTATGGTGTTCTTTAACTCGTTTCATGAAAGCTTCTATAATGGGGCTCTTTTCTGAAGGCATCCTTTTATGTTTAGATTTTTTTGGTGAGGAAGGTTTTCTTTCAAATTGCTCTGTCCCAGTGATGGACAATCTACTTCCACCATACTTGGTATTTGATTTTTGTGGCGAATCCAACATATGTCTGTCTAAAGAGCCAATTAAAAACAAATAAATTCCACGTTATAAAAATAACGCAAACACATTATATAGTAATCATCTTAATTATTAATGTCAAAAATACAAAATTAAACTAAAGCCACAAGAATTTTCAAACTGGTATTTGAATAATACATACATATTTTATGGAGGGTGATAAGATAAATTAAGATTTTATTGTTTAATAGTTTTACTTTCAGAAAGTTCCTTTCTGCTACATCATGTGACATCTCTATGGCTCTATTTCTAAATTACTGTACTAGAGAATCAAAATAGTATACATTATGAACATTAAATCTATTGACTGGAATATTTTAAATGTAAAACGGCTAAACCATAAAAAGATCACCTTCATGATGTTTAGAACTTAAGTTTATCTTGCAAAAAAAACCCAAAAACAGACAACGCTGCTTATTCATTATATTTTTAATTTTGAACACTAGCAGAGTTTAGATAAGGTTTAAAAGTTGAAACCATCTCCTTCATCCTCAATATATCCTGCAAAAAATGCATCACCAGTATACATACCTTGTTTTGAAGCTGGTTTGAAGAAATCCACAATTGATTGTTTCCTGCAAATAAAAGCATAATATGGCATCACATAAGTAAAAATTAAAACCTCAACAATTCAGATTAAATGAAGAATGTGAGTCAGATCTACAGAACATAGGCTGGATATTCCTATCTGGCTTCACCAGATTCTGAGAATGGCAATAATGCTTTGCTAAGCTGCTAAGAGTTTGTTGATAAAAACAAGTAAGGTTTGGGCCAGCAGGTGGTGTGGTGGTTAAGGGCATTGGACTCTCACATGGCCGACCTCAGTTTGAGTTCCGGACTTGGAGGCTTGCTTTCACTCCTCCCCCACTTTGCTCTCTCTCTCTCTGGTCAAATTAAATAAACAAACAAATAAATACATAAAGTTAAATAAAATCATTCTTTAAAACAATCAAATAAAGAAGGTTTAGTTTATATGACCTCTAGTACAAAAATGGCAAGACTATAGAACCAGGAAATTAGTAGAGTACTTCTTAGGACTGAAATGCTACATTGATAGCTTCTCCATTAGACCCTATTTATTGACTTCTCTTGGGGATTGATACAAGATAATATCCAACGGATATTTACCGACTAAATGATAGAGATTATAAAAATGGAATAAAATCTGTGTAGATGCCATAGAACAGTAAATAGCAGAATAGCAATATGGGTGGTTTAGCTATCCTGGGAAGGCAGTTGAAGTATGCAGGGCAAAGGTAGAAAGGATCAAGCACTAAGATTATACAACCTTGTTTATACACTACAGTTAAGATTTTAATCTATTAATAAGTAACAGCAGAAATGGGAATGACCCTTACAACTAAATAGTATTTCAAATTAACAAGAAAAGTTGGTAAGAATAGCAAAAATCAAATTGGTTTAATTTTTAAGGATTTCTGTACTCTAAAGTGGACACAAAATGAAGTACAGTCATATTACCAGAATGTATTCCGATTTATTCACGTAGAGTTGTCAAAAAAGGGGATGCTATCATATGTAGAGCAAAAAAAAAAAAAAAATCAAATTTGCTAAAATGTATTCATTTTACTGAATAATAACCTATCAATTTTCCTAAACATTTAACCATGGTGAGGATGGATGCTCTGTGAAAACTTGAACAATCCAAGTCCCTTGAAGATTAAGCCTCTAATACATTTTCCTGGTCACATTGGAAGGGCAATGCACATTTTCCCTGGCTTACTGAGTGTCCATGCTTAAGATGTTGGTAGAAAAACTAAGAGGTAATGAGATGAGTGACAGGCTATGCAAGAATGTAGGCATTAGTTTAAATAAAAGAAACTGTATTAAGCAAAATAACTCCGACACAGAGTAAAGAAATGTTAGAGGTTCTACAAAGGGAAAAAGGATGATGCCTTGTTACTGGTTGTGAGAGAGAAAGGGACATGGAAGGAACTAATTCACTCAGAACAAGAAAATACTAAATAGGCCTTTAAATGCAACATGATCATCCCTAAAATATTAAACCCCAGGTTTCCTTTCATATAATACATCAGAATGAAAAAAATAGTTCTGGGAAAAACACAAGCAATCTGTAATCATAAATTTAACTTTTAAGAGGTTCCCTAAAGTTCATATATACAGAAATGCTCATTACTTATTTATAAAAGAAAACAATTATAACAGCTTCACAAACCCTTATCTGAAACTTCTAGAGCCAAACTGTTTTAGAATTCAAAATGTGATTTTTTTCTTTAAGAGATTTTTTTGTCTATGGTATGTGTGCTAGCCAGAGACAGAAAGTGAGAAAAATTGCAACCCCTTATCCTCCATTTTCCTTGGTATTTGGGGCACGAACCCACACACGTGTGCCCCTATAAGTTTTAAGCCACCGGGTCTGAGACTCATAATGCGGTAGAATAAGTGGGAGTCCAGGGACATAACCATTAAGTTATCTGCTGGTCTCTGTATTGAGTTTTAAGAAGGGAAAAGTTGGGTGTGGAGCCCAGTGGGCTCTGGTGCTGCAACCCATAATCAAACACATTAATATTTCTCCAGCAGCACTTAAGAATGTTGACATTGAAAGGAATAAAGACCACAAAAAGTCTTACATTAGGTTTGACCAGGTTTGGCTGCCTAGAAAGAGGAAGTGATAAAATGAAAGTCTGGTGTCTGGCTTTCAGAATTAAGATAAGGGACTGTGGACCTGCACCACATTATAACACGAATTTACTGTTGATCTTCTGCTAGAAGCTTCTCAACTTAAAAAAGACAGTACCAAGTTCGTAGAGAATTTAAATATGTTTTATTGTCAGAGGATGTCCTTTGATGAAACGCCATCTCATTACAGCTCCCACAAAATCTTTACCAAAAAATGGGCCTCTTGGAGAGGTGTAAAGTTACTGAAAGAGAAAACATACCATACTGAACTACAAAGTTGTTTCACCCACAATACAAGAAAGGTATACTAAACCATTTGGATTGGTGTAAGAACATACAGACAACGACCAACGACTTAAATATAAATTAAACAGTTGGGACGCCGGTTCAAACTCCCGTCAAGGACAGAAATCACGTTCTACCTAAGGCGGGCTCTCCGTAGCCATCCAGGTTAGGTTGGTGGTTACTAGACCAGCGCTCCAACTACAAAAAAGGAAACTCCAACTCCCAGAAGCCTCAGCGCGGAGGCGGGGCGGGACTTGCCCGGCCCCAAAACGCCAAGGCCCGAGCTCGCGGAGGACGGCGGGAACTGGAAGGGCCACCGTCCGCAGTCCTCCCCTCCTACCCTTGCCCCCACGACCCGTTCCCTTCTCAAGCGCTCTGCACGATACCTGTCCCCAGGACTCTCTGTTCTCTTTCCCGCTGCAGCAGGGGCGGTACTACCGGGTCTCAGATGGCAGCGCGGGGGCGACGACCCTGGGGCTGGGGATGAGGGGAAACCTGGCCTAGCGAGCATGCAGCGCCTTGTCATGTCGGCGCCGCTGGCGACGGCGGCATGAGCTGTGGCTGGAGAAGTTGGGTGCGTGGTGGCCGTCGTGTCGGGGAGGCTGTAGGAGCAGAGGTGGGCGGCACCCCCTTCTCTCTGCATGGCGGTTCTCTTCGGAAGTGACTCCGGTCCGAGCGGGAAGGAACCTGAGGACCAGCAGGGGGCGGGTTTTACTTGAGGCGTCGCGTCCTGATTGGGTGTCATAGCGGTCGTTCCCGTGGTGGAGCAATAGAAAGCCGGAGCCGCTTAAGAGAAGGCGGGATTTCGGGAAGCAGGGATGGGGGCGGAGCGCTGAAAGAAAACTGCCCTCCCACCCCGTCACGTGCGCCGGTAACGCGCGCCTTCTGGTCCTGGCTGCTTCGGCCTTGAAGGGAGCGCGGGGGCGGGAAGTCCCGGGCCTCCTCTGCGCTGCTGCAGCAGGGACACTCGCCTGGATGAGCGCGAGGGGTGAGGTTTGCAGAAACAAACCCAAGTACGGCAGCTTCCCACAGTGAGGATGGCTGCCGGTTGTGCGTTGGAAATCCCAGCTGTTCGTTTCTTCTTCTCTTTTAACATTTTAGGCCAAAGTGCATGATGCCACCATTTCCTCCGTAGTCTGCACAGCACCAATTTGAAGACTTATCCATTCTGTGAGCGTTTTTATTTTAAGAGGTTTTTGCTATAGGGCGCGTGCGCTGGACAGAGAGAGACAGAGAGACAGAAAGCGAGCAGTCACCCCCGGAGAATGACCACGCCACAATCCCTTCTCCATTCTCCTCTCAGGATCTTGGGCACGCACGCACACATGCCTGGCGTGAGTTTAAGCCACCGGGTCTGGGACTCGAACAGCAGTCGACTATATGGGTGTCCAGCAGCATAGACATTACCCCAACTGCTGGTCCCTCTGTGAGCGTTCTTAAGTGTTAGTGGTGACCTTTTTTTTTTTTTTTTGGAGGAAAAGAAAAAGCATTGAAATGAAGACGTTTGTTATTCCAGGAAAGCATTCTGCTTCTCATGAGTTATCCAAGCTTTTTTGCAGATTTTTGAAAAGAACATAGGGTCAGCTTTCAATTACCCATGTTAAGTGTGGGCAGCATGGCTCAAAAAAAAAGCTGTCAGCAATCTCCAATCCTCTGTAAGGGTTTGTGCCTCCGAGATTGATAGCCAGGGTTTTCCTTATAAACTGAGAGAGTGGTTTGAGTATCTCTGAGCCTCTGTCCTCACATCTATAGCACGGATTTAGGTAACTGTAGGTAACTGTAAACTTCACTGTTCAGATTCTCTCATGTAGTAGGTACTGAACAACTCCAGTTATTTTTTTTCTTTGGACTTTTTTTTTTTAAAGCATTATTTAATTTTATTTATTAGTGGGCTTTTTTGTTTGTGTTTTTGCTATAGAGCATGTGCACGCAAAGAGAGACACAGGGAAAGCAAGAAAGCAAGTTGCCAGGTCCCAGATGCAAACCGTTGGCCATGTAGGAGTCCAGTGCCTCAACCACTGCCACCTTCTGGCCCTCAGACTTTTTTTTTAACGAGGTTTTTGCCATAGGGCTCAGGAGCTTGCCAAAGAGAGAGACAGAGATGTGAGAGGGAAAGTGAGAAATCACCCCCCAGGGGAGATGACCATGCTGCAGTCCCTTCTCCTCCATTCTCCTCCAGGGATCTTGGGCATGCACACACATGTGCCCGGCACAAATTTCAACCCAATGAATCCAGGACTCAAACCATGGTTGGGCATGTGGCAGTCCGGCAAAGTAACCACTACACCATCTGCTGGCCCCAAACAGGCTCTTAACAGTGAATTTAACTTCCTACAAAATCTCCCAGAGAGGGAACCAGCAGTTAGCGTAATGGCTATGTCGCTGGACTCCCACGTAGTCGACCGCGGTTCACGTCCCGGACCTGGTGGCTTAAAACTCACGCCGGGTACGTGTGCGTGCGTGCCCAAGATCCCGAGAGGAGAAGGGATTGTGGTGTGACCATCCCCCCTGGGGGGTGATTTCTTGCTTTCTGTCTCTGTCTTTCTCTGTCTGGCGAGCACACGCACCCTAAAGCGAAAATCTCTCCAAAAATCTCCCAGAGACAGATAAAATCTTATATAACAAGTCAACTATTCAACAACCAAGATGTCAACTACAAGGATGTCTGAGCTTTAATCGACAGGGCTGTTCAGTTAATTGGCTAGAACAAAATATTAAGTGACAAATCTTCCAGTATGTTGTGCTGAAATTGGTCACTAAACATGGCCTGACTGACCTGAAATTCACTACCTTCCCTTCCCTGTTAACTCTTGGAAGAGTTAGTGAGGAATAAAGTGGCCAACAGATTGGCAAAGTAGAGGATAGAAGACAGACTATAAATACACCATTTGCCCAAAAGTGTATGCGCACCGTTATATACTGTGCTAGGGAGTGGTAGGGCAAGGAAGGAAATACAAAACTAACAGGACACGTTTCTGCTCCTACTGAGAATGTAATACACTGAGCAGAAATGCGTAGTGACTTGTAGGTTTGGTTAGTAAGGGCTTTCTTGTACATTATTTCCTATCTCTTGATTTAGTGCTTTCTGCTGGATGTTTCTGCACTGGGAAGTTTCTATTTCTATAATGGAGAACATCTAGAAAACATTGAATCCGATTCATTTCATTGCATGCTCAGTTCCATAAGGAGTAATGCATAAAGCCATGTTCTGCATAATCAATGAGTTGCTTTTCTTGGATTATTGTATTTGAATCATGCAGCTTCTAAGGTATTACTTGAAAGTCTGTACTCATGCTACCAAACAATAGTTTTCACATTTTCTTAATCTGAGCAACAGATTATGGAGTTAAGTGAGGCAAGAAATCCCTTGATCAATAAAGGGAGAAGGAGTCATAATGAAAACACAATTTTAAAAATGTCTTTTTAACAGGAAAGTAGTTATCTAAATCCTCAATAAACATCAAGGCTCTTCTTTGTTTAAGCCATGTTTGAAATAATATAGATTTGGGTTGCAGGGTGAAATGTGTTCAACGGTCTAACAAGAACTGCTGGGAGCTTCTGAGACTTCTCTCCTGCCCCCTGCAAATACTGTTGGACAGTTTATTTTGTGTTTATACTGCTTCTCCCACTTTAAACGTGTACTCGTACATGATGCACAAGCACACACACACTGCCATGGTTCATGTGAGGGCTTTTGATGCTTCGTTTTATAGTGGGCCAGAGCTCGATGGTCAGGAACTACATTATGGAACAGGTATTAAAGAGCCCAGGGGTACGTGTTCATGGAGACAAGAGGGGAGAGAAAAACTACGGGACTAGGGAGGAAGGATGATAAATGTGGAACGTAAGCAAGATTGAATTTGATTTAAGCCTCAGCCAGGATTGGAAAAAGTAAGGCTGGAAGATCATCAAAGGCTAGTTTAGGGGGTTTCTGGCTATGGGGCTGAGGAAGCGCAGACCCCAGGAAGGGAGTAGCTTTTATGCAGGAAGCTTCTGTGGGGTGCAGCTCAGTTCAATTTGAGTTAGAGAGAATGGCCAGTCCTTGGCCTTGATGGGACGGGACAGCAGCAGAAACTATGTTACATAAACAACAGATCAAGGTTGCAGGGAGAGTCACTCCAACGTGGGAGTCCTGGGAAGAGTGACAGTATCTCTGGCCAAAGTTATCAAGCAGTCATGAGAAAACAACGTGGGCAGATGGGCTCACACAGTACCTTAGCAGGCAGGGACTAGAAGAACAAAAGGTCACTCAGTTACAAAGAACATCACTATAAATCCGGAAACTCTAATTTGTGATTCTACAGTAATGACACATTTTGGCGGAGGTTGCTATGCCATGGAAAAAATTCTAAGAGTCCTTTTTGGAGGGTGCCAGGAGACAGAAGATGATTGCCGTGGAGCTGCTGAGGGGACCAAGAGTGCGTGTGTGTGAAGGTGAGGGTAGAGGGTGACTGGGAAAGGGGGTAGGAACAGACTCAGAAGAAAAGCAACAGAGCAGAAAATAAGCACCCTGAAACCCTGGCGGAAAGAACAAGACCACGTGATGCTCTCAAGGAGGGAAGGCGAGCTCACAGAATCGCAAGACCACACAAATCACTGCAGAGAGATGCCAGACCGGAAACTGCCCACGTGTTCAGAAAAAGCACTGGCTTGGTTTTAAGGGGGTGCTGCAGGAAAGCCAAATGCACTAGAACGCTGTGTCATGTAACCTGAACTTCCTGGGAATCAGGAAGATTGCAAAAACAGGTCCGGTGTCAAGAAGTCAATTGCTTATATTTCATGATGGAGCGATGCAAGATGGTTTCCCACACTTTAGACACAAGAGAAACATACCAGTCACCTCTCCGTGTGTGTATCTGGGTGAAGTGGTTCCAGGATACCTCCCCCACCTCACCTCGCATCACCACCCGCGCAAATAGAAAATCTGCAGATGCTCAAATCCTTTACATAAAATGGCCTACTATATTTACATAACCGATACATATCCTCCCGTATGCTTTTTTTTTTTTTTTTTGAGTTGTTTTGCTATAGGATATGTGCACTCACCAAAGACACAGAGATAGATACTGAAGGAGAGAAAATGAGAAATCGTCCCCAGGGAGTGGCCGTGCCTAAGTCCCTTCTCCTCCATGAAACTCATGCCTGGCCAGGTCCAGGACTCAAACCATGGTCAGCCAAGTGGGAATTCAGCAAGTTAACCACTACACCAACTGCTGGTTACTCTTCCAAATACTTTAAGTCATCTCTAGATTATTTATATTACTTTTTATTTTTTTGAGAGATTTTTGCTATAGGGCGTGTGCACTTGCTGGAGAGACAGACAAAATGAGAAATCACCCCCCAGGGGAGATGGCCGCACTGTAATCTTTTTTCCTCCATTATCCTCTCAGGATCTGGGTCACTCAGGCACATGCACCTGGCGTGAGTTTTAAGCTGCCAGGCAGGACTTGAACTGCAGCTGGCTACATGGGAGTCCAGCGACATAACCACCACGCCATCTGCTCTTCCCTATGTTACTTTTAATAACTAATGTTGAGGCGGCAGATGGCGTGGTTGTTAAAGGCGCTGGACTCTCACATGGCCAGACACAGTTTGA